TGGGGTGGTTTGCAAACAAGCCAACACCACAATAGATGCGGGTCAGAAAGAGGCTGGGGGGGTTTTTGGAAACGCCCGTTCTGCTTTCTGGACTGGATTGAGTCATTCCCCCCACACACACACACACACACACACACAAACAAACACACCTTTCTCCCAGCCCCATTTCCCTTTGTAGATTCCCAAGGCAAAAGCACGGATCACACCCCTTTGGGGTCCTCTTGGCTTGTTTGCTTCCATTCCCCCCACACACACACACACACACCTTGATTACACTTAATAGCAGCAGCACGTCTCCCTCCCCCCCGCCCCCTTCAAGCCTCAGCATCATCAAGGTAGCTCTCCAGAGTGAAGTGCCCCCCAGACCCCTTTACAAGTCGCAGGTGACGTTGGGGCTGCTGATAGGCTCCCTGTGCGCTGGTTTCTATAGTTACCTGCAGGGTAACAGCTGGCAAGATGCCAACACCAACAGCCAAGCGAAGGAGGGGGGGGGGGAGCTTTGGCCTGCTTGGTGCACCTGAAATCCAATCCCCCTCCAGTGACTTGGGCTCTCGCCGGGCAGTGAGTTCTGCAGGTCCCCTGCTCCCTGCAAGACTCTTGTATTTTTTATGTTATCCTTCCAGTCTAGCAAATGGCGTCATGGGTCTCTAAAGGAGAGGGAAGGTGGAGGGGAGGGAGAGCCCGAGACGCCAGCAAAAACCGGTTTTAGTAAAACGGACGATAATCATCATGATTTCATGACTCAGAATGGGGGCTGGCGCTAGTCTCCTTTTAAAACACCCCTCCCGCCCCCCAAAACACCCTCCACCGCCCTGACCTTTTCCCCACCCACCGAAAATAAATAAATTCAATCCTCCTCCATTCCCGGCATCCATCCACCCACCCACCTCCCTCCCTGGCTATGCCCCCCTTAAAAAAAAACCTATTTAAACAGCTCTGATGCATCTTTCCCCTTCTACACCAAACCAAGAGTTGATTACCTTTAAACTGCCCCCTTTGGGCTTAATTCTGCAGAGGCACCCTGTTCCCTTTCCAATATTAACTCCTTAGGGACTTGAAAGAGGATGGTCTGTGATGGGACTGGGAGATTAGCGATCTGCTTCCTCCCCCCACTCCCGCTCTGGTAATGACCTTGGGCAAGGTGCCGTCCTTCTCTGCTGCCTCAGTTTCCCCCCACCTGCGAAATTAGAGGAATGATGCCTTCCCCCACCTGGCAGGGCTGGGGTCAAAGCTGGAGTCATTTCACATTTGTAATGGGCTCCTCCTTGATCCTCTGGTGGAAAGCGTTATATCAAAGTGGAGCGCGTTGCTTTATGGTTTGATTCAACGGCATCGGGGTGGGAATTGTTGGAGGTGTCACAGTCACCAGAAATCCAAACGGATACCCCACTCCTTCGCAGAACCCCCAGGAGTCACCACTTCCCTAACACCTTAGCTAGTTTCGCCACCTCTTGGGCAAGTTTTCTGAGCAGAAAAATCCAGATCTTTCCAACTCCTAACTCCACGGGTGTGGGTGGGCAGGAAAACAATATATCGATTGGCGATATCAGAGAGGCACCATTTATCACCAGACAAGATATGCACAGCTGGTTATGCGGGCTCCCAAACGCTCATTAGAAAATAATAGTAATAATTAATAATAAGTAATGCCATATATATATATAAATATATATTTGCAAAATAGACACGCTTGCATTTCACAAAGAGACGCCCGCGACGTGTTGGGTTAATGTAGCCTTTGCTAGCAGTGACAGTAGGCATCAGATCCCGACAACAGGAAATTCTCCTTTCGGGTTGGCCAAGTACAGTGGGAGCGAGCGAGAAGAGGGTTTACACAAAGCAAGAGGGCACGTGACCTCAGATGTGGGTCTGGATTTAAAATCTCGACCAGGCTCCAGAACCAGATCAATCGCCCTTTCCCCCCCCCCCCTCTCTCTCCCTCAGCCTCCCTCAGTCTGTGCCTAGGACACGTTATCTTTCCAGATGACCAAAGTTTTCTCTTGCTATTACCAAACAATTTTTGCTTTGTTGCCGTTGCCTCGCAAGAAGGCGATAGCAGGTCTGCAGTGCGACCATCCCAGTTTGAAAGGGATGAGAAAAACATATGAAAAGCAGACAGTAATTCCGAGACACATTTTATTCCTCCCATGGAAATAAATTATTTTGCATGTTGATTTCCTGCAAAACGCTGTGGGTTATGCATCTTACACACGTATATCCTGCTGCCTTTTTAAAAAAAGTTTCCACACTCTCTATGAACAGAAGACACGACACATATTTTTCAATTTTTAAAACAGATTTGGAGGGGGAGGGGAAGAATGAATTGTTCTGATCTTTTACCCTGACATTTGATTTGGTTTTAAAAGAAGATGCATCAGGGCTTTTAAAATGTAGAGAGGAAGCTCAAATCCTCCCAAGAAAATACAAGTTTAGAATCTCAAAAATGCTTGGCGATTTGGGGTGCTTTAATTTTGGGGGGTGTCCCAGCACTTTCTGAATATCAGACCCTTTTAAGGTATCTCAAGTCAGGCACCCAAAACCACTTGAAAA